CCCTGGGTCATAACTTTGAAACGGTTGAGATCCCCACCCCAAAACTATATATACAAATGCTTGGCAAAAAGAGACAAATGCAGTCACAATATTAGAATCGATCCTGGGGTCTGGCCACAACTCTAGGGACCTAGTTTCTGAGTCAAAGCTTGGAAACAGTTGAGATCCCCACCCCATAACCATACATAAAATTGCTGGGCATGAAAAATGTAATATAGCTATGCTACAAGGATTGGCCTTGGGGTCTGGCCTATTCCCTTGATCTCATTTTGAGAATAGTTTGCCATGATTGCTTAGGTATCCAGGTGAGCATACAGGCCCTCTGGGCCTCTTGTTTAAATCACAGCTTGCAATAATTAAAAAACAATTTGGCACATACAGAACAAAGCATATATAAAAGCTATATATACATATATATATATATATATACTTTATCACTGGTACAAGCAATTGAGTTTGGGCACAGATTCTGGGCTAGAGCAAGCGAACGGTTTCATGAATATGGGCCCACGTCATCCTCATCTCGGGGACAGTGAGATAGGATTGACACCCGCACAGACGCCACGCCACGACATACGCCCACTTGCCTTTTGAGCCGAAATTTAAATTGTTATTTTGAAAACTTGTAAGAGATTTAACGGGAATCAGTCGAAGCTTCAGAAGATTCTTACCGTATTTTCAAACGGGGAGTATAAGAAAAAACATCGCGTAAAAGCATTTTCCGACCGTAATATGAATGATAAAATTGGTTAAATAATTGTTATATTTAACTAATTGCTTGGGATTAATTTTATTATTACTAAACTAAATCGCTTGCAAAATTCGTCAGTAGATAGTAGAGATTAAGAAACCCAGCACTGATAGGACGGTAACAGTTGTATATAGTACAGATTAAGATGGTTGAAAGTTGAAGTTCAATAAATATAGAATATATGAAACAAACAAGAAGAAACATCATTTATGAATAATAATTTATTAACATCAGACATGTTTATGTTATTCTTTAAAATGATCCCCCCCCCCCCTAAGCACCTCCCAATAAATGCCAATATTAAAGATATGAAATAAAATAAACAATAGATTCATAATTAATAAAAAAAAAAAAATGATAATGGATTTCAAAACAATTTGTTGAATGAATGAATGAATATAATTGATTGATTGAATGAATGAATGACTTTCACACATGATTCACATTTAGTAGCATTTAGCAATGTCCATAAATTTGACCAATAAGTAAATTCCACTGATCCAAAAAGTTTTCCTCTTCATCAATGAAATCCACATGACACCAGAGTCGACAAGTCAGTATCGTTTGGCAAGAAGGGTTAATACACGTATAGGAAAAGTGAGTACCCGTATGTAGGAGGAGTTAGTACCCGTATGTATGAGAGTCATGACCAGTACCCGTATACATACAGTAGAAAGAGTCAGTACCCGTATGTAGAAGGAGTCAGTACCCGTATGTAGGTGGAGTCGGTACCCGGATGAACAAACAGGCCCCATGTCTTCTCCCTGCTGAAGGCTGACTTCCGGGTCCAGCCGAACCCGACGGTACCACGCAGCAAACCCAACTTACACTCACAAGCAGATCTACGGGGAAGAACAACAAAGACTCGGGTTGAAATTATCTGTAAATAAGCAACCAAAAGAGGAAGATTAAAAATCGCCATCCAGTTGAAAATTTGATAAAATTATTAGATCACTTGTGCTACAATTTATGTTTGAAAATTAATTGCAGCTACAGTGAAACCTGGGTGTTGATCGTGGCTTTGAAGCGAGTGACAAAGACCCGGTGGACAAATAATGCAATGTTTTTCATATTCTTGGGATCATATCATAATATAGATATTGTAGTTCGGATCTAGAAATTAACTCCTTTCTGTCTATGTAAATGTTAAGAAACCAGGCGTAGGCACAATGAAAGACTATTCAAATAAAAAAGGGCCTTTGCAAGATAGATAAGTTCGACCTCCTGGATACGTAGCGTATGAAAAAAACTATTTACCTGATTTCGTGTCGAAAAAGCCAGGTATCGGTTTGGGGGCGTCTTTTCTTCCCGAAATCTTTAATCGGAACCCACTGCGGTTCTTTGACAAACGTAACCCATCTACAAGTAAGAAAAAAGTATAGTGTGTTAAAGAATATATGCATAAAGTAATATTGTCGTTTTGTTTCATGGCAAGGGTTTCTATACATAGGAGTTGTATTCAAAATCAGATATGAACTAAATTATAAATAGACATGAATGCGTTCTGTAAAAATCACGGAAGAGGGGAGCGTATCCTTTTTGATAGACTGAATTGTTGTACCTGAAGGAAAACAAGTCTTTTTCTCTTGATGAGGTTTGAACCAGTTTGCTGCATTCCGTTCTTTACTTCCAAGTACCTGAAAATAAGAAAGCGACATTTCAGCATCTTATTGTCAATGTACCTGCTATACAAGACATCCATACATTCCCAGTTATGGAATCGTGCCCAATGCACCTTGCTCGATGTAGGGACGAACTAGCACTTTCCCTACAACTCGCCTTCAGATTTGTGTTAGAAGCACAGCGAGCACGTAACAACACAGCATCAGCTATGACAGAAGCGTCTAGGTTGTTTGCTTTTGTCCACACGAATTGTGTGCTCAACCTGTAGGGAAGATACCTTATATATAAAGTGAGATTTCTAGATCAGTGAATCCAGACTAGAATGATAAAAAAAGTTTGTTTGATCAGAAACATATACCGCTGCAGCTAATCGGGGACAATCCGCACTACTACGATACACGCTAATACTTGTATTGGGGTGTTTGGAAGAGGAGCGGAATAGTCGTATTAGAGTGGAACGTAAAGAAGCGGAATTGTTGTATTGGAGTGTATGGTAGAGGAGCGGAATTGTTGTATTGGAGTGTATGGTAGAGGAGCGGAATTGTTGTATTGGAGTGTATGGTAGAGGAGCGGAATTGTTGTATTGGAGTGTATGGTAGAGGAGCGGAATTGTTGTATTGGAGTGTATGGTAGAGGAGCGGAATTGTTGTATTGGAGTGTATGGTAGAGGAGCGGAATTGTTGTATTGGAGTGTATGGTAGAGGAGCGGAATTGTTGTATTGGAGTGTATGGTAGAGGAGCGGAATTGTTGTATTGGAGTGTATGGTAGAGGAGCGGAATTGTTGTATTGGAGTGTATGGTAGAGGAGCGGAATTGTTGTATTGGAGTGTATGGTAGAGGAGCGGAATTGTTGTATTGGAGTGTATGGTAGAGGAGCGGAATTGTTGTATTGGAGTGTATGGTAGAGGAGCGGAATTGTTGTATTGGAGTGTATGGTAGAGGAGCGGAATTGTTGTATTGGAGTGTATGGTAGAGGAGCGGAATTGTTGTA